GCATGAAAAAAAATATCAAAGGCCTGGACCATCATGGTCTCTCCATGGCTCCGCCTATAACCAGTAATTTCGAATTTCTTGTTAGAAAACTGGGAGTTTCTGCAACCCTGTTTCCAAACGAACAAAACCCAACGCCTAAACCTCAACTACTCCAGCAGACTACAAGATCAATGCAGAATGTAGAAGAATATAATATTGTAGAAAAAGTTGAGCTACTGAGTGAGTGAGTTAAGCTACCTATGAGAAAGATTGAAGTTTCCAAGTTTGTAAGGAGAAAGGAGAGGGCTCGTGGAACCACCTACTTGAGTTTCATTAGTGGTAGCCATCAACTGGGTTCTGAGCTTGATCCTGATTTTTGTGTTTGGTTTTTTATTCGATTTGGTCTGCTCCCACACTGGCTATTTATGTGTTTGGGGAGAGGAGGCAGAGGCGGATGACAGAGGCAGTGGTTGACAACACTAGCTCTAGCACTAGCACAGTCCGATGACTGAGTGACTGACTCCAACTGGGTACACTAGCACTAGCACAAGTAGCAGAGGCAGTGGTTGGCCGGGCGGCTACTTTTTCAAAGCATTTTTCTAATTTTTTATTCGATGACGTTTGCATTTACCTAATCTTGTTTTTTTTTCTTTTTCTAACGCAAGAGATACTGTATCTTCTTGTACATCGATGACAAATTCGTTTTTTTCATCTTACTGCTTCGTTATGACATGAGACAATAACGCCTTTTTGACATTTAGTGTAGAAGTGATGGCTGCCAATGTGGACACCACCAACGACCATTTGCCTATAATTTGGACATTGTTATAAAAATATAAAAGTTATAGAGAGATAACCTTTATTCGGGACAGGAACGAAGCAGTTGTAGAGTATTATACCAACACAAGCTGTTGCAGAGGAAGTAATGTATATTATTACTATTAGATATTTTTCTCTTCCTTTTCTCTCTGCTTTGTTGAATATTCGTAAAGCTCTATTTATAGAGCATCACCATGGAAACAAACAAAAACACTGTTAAACATATGACATGTTCACTGTATGCATGTGGGCATACATATTATACTATTTACAACACTCCCCCTTGGATGCCCACATATCAACATCAGTTGCCTCATTAAAACCTTGCTTGGAAAAACCCTGTGGGAAAAAAAACATAGCGAAGAAAAAAGAGTACAACTTTATCCGGATGGTGTTGAGCATGCTGATGTTGCCTCGTTAAAACCTTGATAGGAAAAACCCAGTGGGAAAAATCCTAAGCGAAGGAAAAAGAGTACAACATGCATGTATCATGGATGCTCCCCCTGAATTGGGTCTCCCCCTGATTCTGCATTCTTCAAATTTGTAAGCCGACGTAATCCGATTCCCTGCACCAGCTTCTGAAATATGCACTTTGGTAGAGATTTGATGAACAAGTCTGCTAAATTTTCATTGGAACGGATTTGTCTGACTTCAATAACTTTAACCTTCTGAAGCTCATGTGCGCTGAAAAATCTTGGAGATATGTGTTTAGTCTTATCACCTTTGATAAATCCTTCCTTCATCTGGGCGACACAGGCTGCATTATCTTCATGGATGACAGTTGGAGTGTCTGTCTTTGAAGGTAGACCACATGAATTCCGGATGTGATGGATCATTGATCTTAACCAAGAACATTCACGACTTGCTGCATGTAGAGCAATTATTTCCGAATGATTGGAAGATGTTGCAACTAGCGTTTGCTTCATTGATCGCCATGAAATTGCAGTATCTCCATTAGTGAACACATATCCATTTTGTGAGCGGGCTTTATGCGGATCGGAGAGAAAACCAGCATCTGCGTATCCAACAAGGATATGTTCATTTGTGGGCTTGTCTGAGTAGAAGAGACCCATATCTGTTGTCCCACGAAGGTATCGTAGAACATCTTTGACTCCCTTCCAATGACGAATTGTTGGAGCAGAGTTGTACCTGGCTAACAAGTTAACTGAAAAAGCTATATCTGATCTAGTACATTGTGCTAAATACAATAAAGCACCTATTACGCTCAAATATGGTACTTCTGGACCAAGGACCAGTTCATCATCTTTCTTTGGACGGAATGGATCTTTCTTAATGTCTAAAGAACGAACGACCATTGGGGTGCTAAGTGGATAAGCCTTGTCCATGCCAAATCGCTTCAGTATTTTTTCAATGTAAGCTGATTGATGGACCAAAATTCCACTAACATAATGCTCGATCTGCAGGCCTAGACAATATTTGGTTTTCCCAAGGTCTTTCATTTTAAATTCGCTTTTCAGATATTCAGCAGTTTTATGGAGCTCTTCAGGAGTCCCAACTAAGTTCATATCATCAACATATACTGCCACTATAACAAATCCAGAGTTGGATTTCTTAATGAACACACAAGGGCAGATGACATTGTTGATATATCCTTCTTTAATCAAATACTCACTGAGACGATTATACCACATTCGTCCAGATTGTTTCAGCCCATATAGTGATCACCTTAATTTGATTGAGAACATACCCCGTGGTTTGTTTGTTGCTTCAGGCAACTTAAGTCCTTCTGGGACTTTCATATATATGTCAGTATTTAATTCTTCATATAGATACGCGGTGATGACATCCATAAGGCGCATGTCAAGTTTTTCTGAAATCACCAAACTTATTAAGTAACGGAACGTAATTGTGTCCATTACAGGAGAGTATGTCTCCTCATAATCAATTCCAGGTCTTTGTGAAAAGCCTTGTGCAACGAGTCGTGCTTTGTATCTAGCAATCTCGTTTTTCTCATTGCGTTTCCTTGTAAATACCCATTTGTAACCTACGGGGTTTACATCAGTTGGGGTTTGGACTTCTGGTCCAAAAACACTTCGTCTTTCCAAGGAATTTAATTCTGCCTGGATTGCATCTTTCCACTTAGGCAAATCTTGTCTCTGTTTGCATTCATCAACAGAGCGGGGCTCAATATCATCACTTAATATGATTTCAGTGGCTACTGCGAATGCAAACATATCGTCAATGATTATTTCATTCCGATCCTACAATTCATTAGTACATGCATAATTTATGGAGATTTCTTTGCTTTCATGTACTTCTGTCTCTTCATGGCCATTTTCTTCTTCTGGAAGTCCAGAGTCATGAATTGTGGATTTGTCATTTACTCTCTCTTCCTGAATGATTTCATTTGGATTCAGTTGTGCCCTCGTCTTTCTCTTCCGAGGGGCTGAATCTTTTGAACCTGGTGGTCTACCACGCTTCAGGCGTGCACCAGATGAATCATTCGCTGCCACTTTATTTTGTCCAACAGGGACATCAATTCTGGCAGGTGCATTTGCAGCTGGTATATGCGATTTTGTCACTTTCATAGCGTCATTAAATGCATCTGGCATTTGATTGGCAATGCTTTGAAGATGAACGATCCTTTTCACTTCATTTTCACATTGAAGGGTTCGAGGATCAAAATGAGACAAGGTGGGAACAACCCATGTCAGCTCTTTCCGTTCTTCTGGAACGGTCTTTTCTCCCCCTAACGATGGGAAGACTGTCTCATCAAAATGACAATCAGCAAAACGAGCTGTAAACATATCACCTGTCAAGGGTTCCAAATATCTAATAATAGATGGTGAATCAAAACCCACATAAATTCCCAGTCTACGCTGAGGTCCCATTTTAGTGCGTTGTGGGGGTGCAATAGGCACATAAACAGCACAACCAAAAACTCGTAAATGTGAAATGTTTGGCTGATGTCCAAACACGAGTTGTATTGAGGAGTATTGGTGGTTGGCTATAGGTCTCAATCGAACCAATGATGCAGCATGTAGAATGGCATGTCCCCATGCAGAAACTGGCAATTTGGTTTTCATAAGCAGAGTGCGGGCTATTAACTGAAGCCGCTTGATCAATGCTTCTGCTAAACCATTTTGAGTATGGACATGAGGAACAGGGTGTTCAACATCAATGCCCAATGTCATGCAGTAATCATCAAAGGTTTGAGACGTAAATTCACCAGCGTTATCAAGTCGGATTGATTTAATGGGATAATCTGGGAATTGTGCTCGTAACTTAGTTATCTGAGCAAGAAGTCTCTCAAAAGCTACATTCCGAGTAGACAAGAGACAAACATGTGACCATCTGGTGGATGCATCAACCAAAACCATAAAAATATCGAAATGGTCCACAAGATGGTTGAATAGGTCCACAGATATCCCCTTGAATTCTTTGTAGAAATGATGGGGATTCAGCATCAACCTTTAGTTGTGATGGTCTAATTACCAACTTCCCTTGAGAACAAGCCTTGCAAGGGTTATCATTTGAGATAGCAATGTCTCTGCTCAATAATGGATGTCCATTAGAGTTGGTAATGATCCTACGCATCATGGTGGATCCTGGATGACCCAGACGGTCATGCCAAAGCATGTAAACCTTTGAATCAATGAACTTCTAGTTCATGATAGTATGTGATTCAACTGTCCTTATGTATGTATAATATAATCCACTCGAAAAACCACGCAACTTCTCCAATATACGCTTCTGGGTATCATTGGAGGTAATGCATAGATACTCCACATTTTTTGCACTTTTCGTTTCAATGTGGTATCCATTTAGACGTATGTCTTTGAAACTCAACAAATTTCGAGTAGATCGAGTAGCATACAATGCATTTTGTATGGACAATATTGTTCCATTTGGTAACATAATCTGGACTTTCCCTGAGCCTTCAATCACATCTGAAGGTCCTGATATTGTTGTTACCCCTATTTTTGTAAGCATTAAGCTTGAGAAATACTTTCGATCACGAAGTATTGTATGTGTGGTTGCACTGTCTGCAAGACAAATATCTCCGCCATTTCTCATGTTCTGAGAATAACCACAGTTTTTATCCATGCTTTCTGAGTAAATGGAATCACAGTTAACAAACAATTTATAACAGGAAATTTACATGCCATTTTTATTGAATTTGAAAAACTAGTTTTAGACAACAAGTTCAGCATAATAAAAGTACATCAAACATAAACGATTTAGTCGGACCGATATACTTCATTCCCCCTTTCCATAATGAAGTCCGAAACATCTAGGTGAGTTGCGTCAAATTGCCCTGATAAATCAAACACTGGATCAGGTATATCCATTGGTTTAGCCTGGTCGAGAAAATTGGTCTCGACACCCTTCTTCTTAAGGAGGCTTGATACAACTCCACCAGATGTTTTGGGGTACGACAAGTTCGCACCCAATGCCCATTGCCACCACACCTATGGCAGGCTTCTTCAGAGTTCCTGGGAGCATTGGTCATGTTAGCTTTGCCTTTGTGACGATTCACATTTTTGAAGCTCGGGCCAGAATTATGTCTCTGAACCTGGTTGTGAAACTGACCACCATGGTTCTTGCCTTTCCTATTCCATCGACCTCGTTTGTGGCCACGTCATTGTTTATGATAATTACCACCAGAGGATGTGGCGTTCACTTCGAAGGAAGTAGCATTTACTTCTGGGAATGGTGCAGATCCAGTAGATCGGGAATTATGGTTTTTCATCAGGAGCTCATTGTTCTGTTCAGCTACCAAGAGCACAGATATCAGCTGGTTGTATTCAGTGTAGCCTTGCGCTCTATACTGCTGCTGCAGGAGCACGTTATTGGCATGAAATGTGCTGTAATTCTTTTCCAGCAATATTTCATCAGTAATGGTATCCCCACAGAGCTTCATCTGAGAGGTAATCCTGAACAACGCAGAATTGTACTCCGCCACTGATTTGAAATCCTGAATTCTCAGGTGAGACCACTCATAGCGAGCTTTTGGAAGAATCACCGTTGTCTGGTGATTATATCTGCTTCGCAAGGCCTCCCAGAGAGCTAACGGATCTTCAACCGTTAAGTACTCACTCTTTAGTGCCTCATCAAGATGGCGGCGAATAAAGATCATAGCCTTCGCCCGATTTTGAGAAGATGAGCTGCTTTCTTCCCTGATGGTATCTCCAAGATTCCCTGCTTCCAGATGGATCTTGGTATCAAGTACCCAAGTAAGGTAATTCTTCCCGGTAATGTCCAGGGCAGCATATTCAAGCTTAGCCAAGTTCGTCATTTTCTTTTCTGAAAGAAAATGAGATGTGTAAGAACTTGCAGTAATATGTATTCCTAGAGGAATGTGATGTTAGAACTTCTGGTTCTTACAAATTTTTCATTTTGATCTTCAGGCCAAAATGATAAGCACTCGAAACTTCTGGCTCGAGATTTTCAGTGTGAATGAGAAGGGCGATTGTACCGCACCATTCTCATTGAAAGAATGTAACATGGAATGAGCGATTAGTCCGCACCACTCAAGTAGCAAGAAAATTGAAATACGCAGAGCAGGGTGGGCGATTATACTGCACCACCTAAAATTGCAATGAAATTAAACAACAGGTAAATTTAAATTTGGAGAACAAGGAGGGCGATTATACCGCACCACCTAAAATTGCAATGAAATTAAATAACAGGTAAATTTAAATTTGAAGAGCAAGGAGGGAGATTATACCGCTCCACCTGAAATTTGCAGTAAAATTAAATCTGCAGTCCAAGATAGGCGATGATACCGCACCATCTTGGATCGCAGTAAGATGAAATTTGCAGTTCAAGATGGGCGATTGTACCGCACCATCTTGGATTGCAGTAAAATCAATATAAATACTATGTTAGTAATCAATATCCAAACCAAACAAGTAATCAAAGATGTATGTAACCGCTAGTTGGAGAACTACGAGCAGGCATGGAGCAAATAGTTCGTCGCGAGGATATACCGCACAGTTGAGGCAGATGAAGAAGATGAACAGGAAAAACCTTAGAGGAAACATTTTTTTTTTTTTTCGTTCGGCGGAGAGAAATGAGAGAATGATTTCCTTTATTGTTTAGTGAATGTAAATGAGACATGGTTATACTTAGAGACTCGTGCTGATAACGTGTTATAAAAATGTAAAAGTTATAGAGAGATAACCTTTATTCGGGACAGGAACGAAGCAGTTGTAGAGTATTATACCAACACAAGCTGTTGCAGAGGAAATAATGTATATTATTACTATTAGATATTTTTCTCTTCCTTTTCTCTCTGCTTTGTTGAATATTCGTAAAGCTCTATTTATAGAGCATCACCATGGAAACAAACAAAAACACTGTTAAACATATGACATGTTCACTGTATGCATGTGGGCATACATATTATACTATTTACAACAGACATTCTTTTATTAAATTTTACTTTTATCCGAATAATTACATCCATGCGTTTTAGTTCAATTATTTTCCTTGTTTTTTGTCTCATCCTTTAATTTGATTCATCATGCGCAATGGGATCCCCATTAATTACCAAGGGCAAGCGTCATTTTTGCTAGAGTACTTGATTTCGCAGGGGTGGAGGATGGAGTAATTGATGGCAACAATGGTGGTGCGGTGGTGGTTTTGATGACAGCGTTTGCGACAATCATGGTGGCATAAATGATTTTGTTTAGAGCATTTTCATGTAAAATGCTCTTAGTGAGGTTGGATAAGGAATGATATCGCAATATCAGCAAATGGGATAACAATCTCTACAATCGTGGCTAGACATAAGTTACGAATATCATGTTATCATGTGGTTAAACGTTTCTTTAAACAGAATACTTAATTTGAATCATTTGTCACATCTCCTAAAGTCAAACGATTAATGACTTTATAGGCTAGATAACAGATCTCAAACAAGCCAATAATAAGACGCCATGTGTGCTCTAATAAATTACCTTCAATTTCAAACTTGCCACTGTACAAGGGCATGGTCATTGACCATGAAGAGGCTAATGTTTCTCTACCAAGAAACCATAGCTTTGGTATTCATTTCATCCGCTTAAGCGGATGTATTTAATTTGAGTTCTAATAAATTTTAGGAAATTCTCATTTAATACCCTAAAGTATCATAGTTTTTAAACTTTCATACAGTAAGTTTTTTTATCCGAGTGTCATACCTAAAGTGAGAATTATGAAACATCTTCGTACATTCGTTAGATTTTTCGTCAGAATCTCTGTTAACATGTTATATGACACTTATGTGAACAATATAGACGCCACACATTAATCTGGCCCGATGTGGACCTAAGGAAATTGAAAACCTGCAATTTTCTGAATCTCTGTACTGTAATTAACATCCTTTAAAAGAAAGAATGTCTTAGCTCTTATTGCAAGTTCTCATCCAAAATAAAGTCTTAGCTTTATACGGCACTGATGAGGAGTACGAATGTCTTGTTTAGTAAGCACTGGCATGAACGTGTGACGTGTCATAAGCATTCCTTACTCCAGTAACCTTTCCCCACCCATGTCCCTTGGGAAATAGTACGGACTCGGTATGTTTGTGCACGTGCCGTTATTCTTAAAGCACATTTTGGAGGCCAGAATTTGATTAAAAGGTCCTTATTTAAAAACATAATAATTTTTTTGACAATGTATTCATACGAAGTTTAACAGTCAATAAATTTTTTTAACAAACGATATTATTTACCTTAAGATGAGAGAGTGGGTTTAACCTTACAATGAGTTTTCAATAATGCGGTTCAAACACGCTTTTGTCGATAATCAAACCTTAAACTACTCACTTATAAGTGAAGAGTAATACTACTAGACTATAGTACTAAGTGGTAATTAAAACTTAATTGAAATCAGCATCTCACGCTTACTAATTGCATAATCTCCAATTGCCAGGAAATCATGATTTAGGATTCATCCATGAAAAAATGGAGCATGACTGAAATAGAGATATGAAAATATGCACTTATGTTTGTGGAAGAAATTAATACAGAAGTTAGTTTTTTATTGTTAAAGAAAAGTGGAAGATAGTAATACACAAGTTTTTTCTTATTGCTAGAAAAAGTGAAAAAATTATATATTGAGAATAAGCAAGTGACCTTTTACTACAGTGATGAAAAGGTGTTGAGCCATTGCATAAAGACATGGGTTCAAGCCCCATCGAGATGACTAATCTAACATCTAATCTAACAAAATCTATTGTTTGACAAATATATATATATATATATAAATTGAGCATAAGTTCCACTTAATCAATGTATTCAATTAGGATTTTGAGTAATTTTAATTCTTTAATGAATCTAGAGGTATTCAATCAGGATTTTAAGTGATTATCTGAAATTCAAGGTGTATTCAATTAGAATTTTAAGATAGTTTATTAAAATCCTTATAAATCCCGATGTATTTAATTAGAATTTTAAGGAGGTTTATAACATTTCAAGTGTATTCAATTAGAATTTGATTTTAAAGAATTTGAGAAAGTTGAGGAATTAGAGGGAATTTGAGAGATTTCGTAGTATATTTTAGGGGATGTATTCAATTGGGATTTTAATTCTTTTAATAAATCTATGGGTATTCAATCAGGATTTTAAGTGATTCTCTGAAATTCAATGTGTATTCAATCTGGATTTTAAGATAGTTTATTAATATTTCAAGTGTATTCAATCTGGATTTTAATAAAAAAAAATTAATAATATTCCAAGTGTATACAATTAGAATTTGATTTTAAAGAATTTGAAAAAGTTGAGGAATTAAAGGGAATTGGAGAGATTTCGTAGTGTATTTTAAGCATCCACAAATGTAACATCCCACATCGCCCAGGGAAGTGGATCTTGTAAGCTTTACATGCATATTCTCATCTCTTTCTAGCACGAGGCTTTTTGGGAGCTCACTAGTTTCGGGTTCCATCAGAACTCCGAAGTTAAGCGAGTTCGCGTGAGAGCAATCCCATGATGGGTGACCCACTGGGAAGTTCTCGTGTGAGTTCCTAGAAACAAAACCGTGAGGACATGGTCTGAGCCCCCACCACATCCCGGGCTCGACTCCGCCGTAGCACGATATTGGGGGCTCGACTCCACCGTAGCTCAATATTGTCCGTTTTAGGACCCGACCACGCCCTCACGGTTTTATTTCTGGGAACTCACACGAGAACTTCCCAGTGGGTCACCCATCATAAGATTGCTCTCACTCGAACTCGCTTAACTTCGGATATCCGATGGAACTTGAAGTCAGTGAGCTCCCTAAAGGCCTCGTGCTAGAAAGAGATGGTAATATACATATAAGGCTTACATGATCCACTCCCCTGGGCGATGTGGGATGTCACACAAATCTCACATCTTCCCATGATATTTCGAGAGAATTGAATCAAAATTTACATAGAATCTTTGCAAATCAATTAAAATCTATACATGGATTTATAAATCCATTGAAATATCTCAATTTCCCAATTGAATACACCCCTTTAAACATCCACAAATCTCACATCTCCCCATAAGATTTCGAGGGAATTAAATCAAAATTTTAAATGAAATCTCTATAAATCAATTAAATAAATGTCACACCCCAAATTCGAGAATAAGGATGATAATCGAATTAGGGCATGAATAGTGTCTTAGGAAAAAAAATTAAATATTATAACAAAAGTAAGATGGAACCAGAGCCATCTAAAAGTTCACTTAAACCTATTTATTTAGTACATCATGAGTTTAAAGAGTTCAACTCTAACAACATACTCGTAAGAGACACTTTATTCTAAGCACAACTAGGAAACAAACACACACATGATATGGCTATCCATTTAGAGACAGGTCATCATCAAGTTCCTCCATACTGGTACCTGCAATAGCTAATAGGGTGTGAGCATTTCATGCCCAGTAGGAACTATATGCCCTTCAAGTTCATTTATCACAGTTAATCAAAGTGTCATGCATCAAACAATACGGTAACATACACATGATATGACAAAGAAGTACATAGAACTCACTCCCTTCTAATCCCGCTAACCTATATTCATGGCATCCAAACCTGCACGTCCCATACCATGCTTATACCACTTGGTTCCGAACACCATAAACTATAAGTTAACTTTCATTCCTCCCTTAACCCCGAATTTTATTAGTAGTTTCAGTTTCGTTAATATGGGCCCTTCCCCTGACGCCCAACTACATGTTTAAGCCCGTCACCCTACGCTTGAACATATACAAGTTTTCAATACTTTGTTTAACCAACTTTACACAACCCAACACTTGACTTTAAAACATGTACTGCAACCTGAGCATATCAATAACATAGACACAATTGTAAACCTCAACATATTCAATCTAGAAATTTAACATAGCTCAACCACTCATCCACATAATAACATTTAACAAAATCAATATATATCTAATACACCAGAGAGGAAACTATCAACCCATAACACAATCATGACAAACAAATGTTTCCAATCCATCTGAGCATTTCAGTACTACTGTAATAGGTATAATTACTAATATCACCTAACATCGGGAAATAGAGCCCCTACCTCAAGTCCAGCTAACTAGAATACCTCTCTAAGCCTCCGAAGTGTCCAAAGTCACTCCCAGACCTAAAATCACATAAATAATAATAAAAGTTAACTTAAAGATGGAATAAAGATTCAATTTCAGTCTATCAAAAGTTTACCTAAATATACCCTTGTCACAACCTCTTGATGAACCAAGCTTAAGTCCCCATATTGTGACCCCATTTTCATCCCTCAAAACTCCATGGAAAAGGATAAAATTACTTGGGTTTTAAAGCTTAACAAACCTAGTTTCTAATCTAATATGAGTTTCCCAAAACAGATTTAAGAGAAGAAAATAATCAAGCTCCAAAGTTTGAGTTCACAAACAGTTTTTCTGCAGAAAATCTGCAGATTTCCAGATTTTTTTCACATTTTCAAATCATATTTTTCCATAGAAGATCTCAACCAAAATCAATGAAATAAATTGGGCTTTGTTCCTTGTCATGTCTAATTTCAAATATATAAGAAGACTTTTTAAAAACATGTAATGGATTGAGAGAAAACAAGAGCCCAAGTGAGGCTCACGAAACTACAGTTTTCTAGTAATCAAAGTTGCAATGGTAAGAAAATAGAAAATTAACAAATTTAAGCTAACCTTTTGTGCCAATCGAAGAACACACCAGCACCCTCTCAGCTCCCCTCTTCCGATTTCCTACTTTTCCCTCTCCAAAACCTCTCACTCTCCTCTAGTTCTTCAATAAGGGTTAGAAATACTCTCTTAAATCCCATCATTGCATCTCTGATTTAGGATGCTTACTCACTCCCCCTAGACTACCCACATCACCTCCAACATTTATGGACAGAAATCTGAATATCTTAGTTCCCCACCGTGTGATGGTTGGGAAGGAGAAGAAGAGTTGGGATGGTCTACATGTATAGACCATCCTCTATCTGTTTCTTTGGTATTTTTTTTTAAACTAAAATAATCTTACTCCTATAATATATATATATATATTCCAAATTTTACAATAAAATAGATTGTTTAATTATCCAAATGTATTAAATAAAATAGATGGTTCATCATGAATGTGTTACTTAGTACATGCCTAGTCGATTTATGTTTGAATGACTAAATAATCATCAATCCTAGGGAGATTTCTCATCTAACCTCTTTCTACACCCAACTTACTCTATTCACTCATATTGTTTTTTATTAAAGAATTAATATCTCTTAAACCCAAATTTATTACCTAAACTACCCTCTCAAACCCAATTCAAAATGTAAAAGTATCTTTACACCCATTCCCTTTATAAAATAACATCTCTAATTGAATGTTTTTTTTCATTCAAAGAGGCGTCATTTGCCTCTCTATAATTGCATATGTTGTATAGGACTAGCATTTCCATGGCTGCTTTTTTTTCTTTCTGTTACCACAACCTATCCATGGACTTGGGATCCAAGAGATCATTTCATAGACTTGAATTTGCCAAGAGAATGTTATCCAAGCTCCAGTTCAGTCATTTTTAAATCGAGCATTTTCATGTCTTTTTAAGAAAATTTGAAGTAACATAAGGTTGGGTGTTTTGCTGCTATGTTAATAAACAAATAAACAAATTGGAGCTATTTCGAGTAAAAAAGGAACAAGACATGCCACCCGCTAGTTCGTGGTTAAGGTTGAGCAATCTTTATTTGCACTAAGAATCAAGTTTTATGTCTTTGCAGTACTAACCAATAGTCCTTGTACTAGTGTTTTGGGGCGCATACAGACGGCAGAGAAAAACAAATACAACATAATATAAAAAGTATGAAATTTAATCCAAAGAAAAAACAAACAAACAAAATATCCATAAATTGAGTCATACCTTAGTTGGAGAATTAAAAACTTCAAAATCACCCTCCATCAATAGAAAAGCTTGTTTTTCTCTGTCATAGCTATTAGGGTTTTAGTCGGAATGAACCTATGATAAACAAAGGGCGAAGCTAGGGTTTAATTATAGTATGTGGGTCTATTGATAAATTTGATTTTTATTATTAATTTCATTTTGTACTAAATAGTAATTATGCAATAGGGTAAAATAGACCATTAGATGGGTTTAAATAAAATTTCCCTTTAAATAATATTTTGAAAGATGATCAAATAAAAATTAATAAATTGAACAATTTCGATTGGGTAAATATCAGTTTACTACCCTTAAGTTTCGTGGTTTTTGAACATTTGGTACCATGAAGTTTTTTTTATCCCATAGTCATACCTAAAGTATTAATTTTGGGACAGTCTCATATATCCATTAGTCTGGCTGTTAAGTCTCCCGTTAACTGATGACGTGGCACCTATGTGGACAATGACTGGGTTTCATGTGTCATTAAAGGGTCCATATGGAAATTCAAATTTCAAAATTAAAAAAAAAAAAAACCTAAAACCTACTTGTCTTCTACCTTGCACCATCCTTTCTTACTCTGCAACCCCTACCCCTTTATGCACCCTCTCCCTCCCTTCTCTCTTCTACAACCGCACCCCTTCCCTCCCTTCTCTCTTCTGCAACCTGCACCACCCTTCCTTCTCTCCTCCATCCTTTTCTACAATCCGTCCATCGCCGACAGGTCTCCCTCCCGCCACCATGACCTAGGTTCCCCCTTCTTCTCAGGTAGTTGTTATCTGGGTTCTCTTTTCTTTCCCTAATTCTAGAAGTGGTTCTATTTGTTCCGGATCAAATATTTGATATTCTCAATTGGGTTTGGTTTTCAATCTCCTATCTCAGTGCAAAGGGAGAAGGCAGATGAGGAGGGTGTGGTGGAGAAATCGAGATAGTTTGAGGAAAGGTTGAGGAAGGTCAAGGTGGAGCAAGCGGCGGCGAAGTTGGGGACATCAGAAAGAGGGCCGGATCTAAGGAGGTGAGGAGAGGACGGCAAGAGATCAAGTTTATGGAGGAAACCCTTGTACCATTGCAGAAAATACCAGAAAATGAACATGGGTTTTGGTTGGGGGAAGAGAGAAGGGAGGGAGAAGGTGCAGGGGATGAGGAAGGGAAATGGTGCGCTGAGGGGAGGGGGTAGGGTTTGCAGGGGTAAAAAAGGGATGGGGGGAGGTAGAAGACAGGTAGGTTTTAGGTTTTTTTTTTTTTTTTAATTTTGAATTTTGAATTTCCACGTGGATCATTTAATGACACGTGGTGGCCATTCATTGTCCACATGAGTGTTACGTCATCAGTTAATAGGAAACTTAACAGCCAGACTAACGAATGTATGAGATTGTCCTAAAATTAACAATTTAAGTATAACTCTAAGACGATTCATGTACCAAATATTGAAAACCACAAAACTTAAAAGGTAGTAAACTGATATTTACCTATTTCGATTATATACTTTGTACGATCAAATTTGCAAAGGAGCTCATTTTCCCAAAAGCAAGTAACAAAGTTAAAAAACATAATAAAAAAAAAATGATTCCGCGCATAAGCACGAGTCACGTCTTCGCATATTCGGCAAGCACCTTTTTCTTTGTCTTTAATTTTATTTTGTAAGAATATGTAAACCCTAATCAATCGATCACCACCGCACATATATTTCCCTCCCCAAACCCCAAACCCCAAACCCCAAACCCATCCGTCCTCTACATTCCACTCACCGTAGCCCTCTATCTCACTCTCTCTCTCTCTGCAAGTGCAACTGTGCAACTGTGCAACGGTTAGGTTTCAAGGATTGGACAATCATCGTTGACCCAATGGCTTTAGTAAGTGTCTTCCCTCCTCCATTTTATTTTATTTATTTTTATTTATTTTATTTATTTAATCTGGTTGTGGAAGATTGAGGATGAACTCTCTTCTTGCTTTAATCACATTGTTAAAACGTTTTACCACTGATTAATTTTCACATGAACTTGAGTTGATGAGGTGCTCTCTTACTTTTTACCATTGACTTTTACCCACACTCTTTAAACTCGGTGATCCCCTTGTTCCATGTTAAATGATTCCAACACATACAGTAACAAGATCAATGCACTCAATGTACTTCGTTTTCGATTTAGATCTTCCTTTTTCTCTGTTTTTGATTGTTGCTTTTACTCAAAACTGCTAATTGGTGCCGGGAAAAACAGCAAAATGGAAACAAGACTGGTTAGGTGGTGTGGGTAATTTTATCGGCTGAACGGAGTGTTTATGTGTGCTTGATCTTCTTCTTTTAGGTGCTGCACGCCGGAAGCACCAACAAAAATGGTTTCAAGGCACTTATTGCTGCTGAGTTCAGTGGTGTCAAGGTGGAACTGGTCAAGAATTTCGAGATGGGTGTGTCCAATAAAAGTCCAAAGTTTCTCGAAATGAACCCCATTGGGAAGGTGGCCTTTATTTCTTTTTGGGCGTAGTTAATATATGTTTATTGAAGTGTGTTTACTGGGTTTTGTTTTACTTAATTGGTTTTTGGTTGTGTAGGTTCCTGTGTTAGAAACACCTGATGGCCCTATTTTTGAGAGCAATGCCATTGCACGCTACGGTGAGGCTAAGTTCCTTTATATCTAGAAATGTTGTTGTTTTAAATCTAATTGTATGATTTAATTTGTTGCAGTTTTAAATCTAATCGTATGACATAATTTGTTGCAGTTACTCGGTTGAAGGCAGATAATCCTCTTTATGGTTCTTCCTTAATTGAATATGTAAGTGATGTGAGGGCTGTCTTGCACTTGTATAAATTCCCATTTAATTATACATGCCTTAATGATACGGTCAGAGGAACATGTTGTTTGTGTTAACGAGATGTTACAAAACTACTGGCACACAAAGTAAGGCAACTTTGATTTATAATTGGGTCACATATTATGATTGTATGAATCAAGAAGCTTCATAAAGTACATTAGATTCTTCGCTGACAGAGATCTTCATTAGAATACAGATTTGATTTGCAAATCATATTCTGTTGAGTTGTGATTTTTACCTACACATTGTTGATTTCGGCAGGCTCGTGTGGAGCAATGGATTGATTTTGCCACACTGGAGATTGACGCCAATATTTTGCGATGGTTAATACCACTTATTGGTTTTTCTGTTTACCTTCCTCCGGTTAGCCATTACTGCATTTAGTTATTCAGATCTGTTATATATCGTTGTCATTGTGTGTATCTAAGTGGGTATATCAAAACAACTTACACCATTTGTTTTCTTTGGTGCAAAGGTTGAGGAAGCTGCAGTTTCTGCATTGAAGAGAGCGCTAACTGCTTTGAACACTCATCTTTCTTCCAACACGTACCTGGTTGGGCATTCTGTGACTTTGGCTGATATCATTCTGACATGTAATTTGACTCTGGGATTTAGCCGGTTATTCACAAAAAGTTTTACCTCTGAATTTCCTCATGTTGAGAGATACTTTTGGACCTTAGTCAATCAACCAAATTTCCGCAAGATATTGGGTGAAGTTAAACAAGCAGAATCCGTTCCATCTATTCAATCAGTAAAGAAGCCGTCACAGGCGAAGGAACCTGCAAAACCTAAGGCCAAGGATGAGCCAAAGAAAGAGGACAAGAAAGAATCAGCAAAGCCTAAATTAGAAGAGGCTGCGGAAGAAGAGGCACCCAAGCCCAAGGCAAAGAATCCTCTTGATCTTTTGCCGCCTAGCAAGATGATTCTGGATGACTGGAAAAGACTTTACTCAAACACAAAGACCAACTTCCGTGAGGTTGCTGTTAAAGGTGATTCTTTATCACATACTATACACATGGCTTCACCCATTTCTTGTTTTTAATTTTCCATGTCTTCATAGGTTGCATGTGGTGTTGCATTTCCATTCAGTATATAGTTCTCTTCTCTGGTACTTTTGTCTATGACCTGTTAGCAGGCTGGTACAAGCAGATCATTGAAAACTTTGCAATATAGTTTATACTCCTCGATATTTTTTTTTTAATCTTGGAAACATTTAATATTTAGCTTGAAAAAGACATTTTTATTGCTCTTTCAC